TGAACGAAACACTTGATGCTGTCTGTCTGAAGCATCAACCCTTATTAACCTGGATTCACTGTAAATCGCCAGAGCCAATCCATGCACACCGATGACTTGAACAAGAGAGCTTTGCCTTCTCTTTTTCTCTCTGTTTCCGACTAGCTTGCCTTCTCGGAACAGGTCCGATTAATCCTTGCAGCCATCAGAGTATGTTGATTGTTAGTTATCATCTGTTGGTCCTAAATTTCTTGATGACAGCCAAGAAACTCATCATCAATGCTGCGTGCCAAGCTATACAATCAGGCACAGCATTCTGTAAAGAACTCTCGTGTCATGCTGACAACATACAGCCGTCGCTCTTTGACTCATGCTACTCGCCAACTACCAGCGAGCTAGCCAAGCTAAATTCGCTTTCTTTCTTTCTTTCTTTCTTTCTTTCTTTCTTTGTCGCATCTTTGGATTGTTTGCTTGTGGAGAGCTTTTTAGCTGCCGGTTTGCTAGTTCTCAGCTGAAAAGGGCCCCTTGCATCGGTTCTTTGGCAGGATTGTAGCTATTGTGTCGCACTATGGAATGTCGAGATGCATGTCGGCCGTTTACCTTTTTCAAGAAAAGCAGATGAGACCGAGAAACAAGTTCACCGCGAATAAACAATTGAGTTCAGCCAGCAGGTCTGCAGAAGATCCACGACCCTTCATGAAGTGGAGTCTTTAGTTTATTAGTCGTGCAGATCATGGTCGTCTAGAGGTTATCCATGTAGCAGCTTGGACAATTCATGGAGCTACTTTGTACTAGTCACGATACTTAGAATAAGGCAAAACTTTCCGGGTTGATATAGCATTGCCGACTGGGCATGGGCTGTGCATCATGGCGCTTATCACATTGTGATGCTGGCCTCAGAATGTGTTCACAGTCTAGACAGTCTATAACCCTCGACAAACATACAATGACTTGCTTATCTTTCTAATGAGCTTGCGCTCCTCAGTTTCAGCAATTAAACTCAATTGGGCAATGCATGTGGTACAATGCGTTGTCTCAAGTCGCATATGTCTCTATGTTTTTCTTATCCTACAAGGTGACAATACTCACCTAACTCATTACCCGCAGACCTTGAGCAATACGGTATATCAACAGAAAGAGGTCAACAACTTATCATAGACAGGGATAAGGTCGCACGGCATGAGATCATCATCACATAAACACTATCGATGGAGCTTTGAAACGGAGGGTAATAGCAGCACAAGTTAAGAAACGGGAGCCTCGAGGTTATTTATATACAACTACCAGGGGCTTTATTCGATGTGCAACTGGGTAGGATAGTCTCCTCAAAGCTACGGTGTGCAGCGATAAATACCCGAGTGAGTTGATCTATCATATGCTGTAATGTTGCAAACTTCAATGGCTATATGCCGAGTTCTCATAAGCACCCCCGAGATGCTATGTACTGTACGTGATTGACCGAACTGAAACAGATATACATACTGGTCATGTGGTTGAAGACCCTCAGCGAGGTTACCTCGAGGACTTCCAGATTTCCAGCTTTCCAGATGACCAGGTCCCAGAGTTCCTGTTCAAAATTTTGACGTCAATACAGAAGTTTTACACAAGTAATGCATAAGCACACTATGAGGCAGCCTTCATCGTTACATAAGCGTAGTCACCGCAAAGAAAGGAACAATAGCCAATTACAGACTCTTGAGGAGAGGCAGCCAGGCATTTCCAATCTCCAACCATAACTGCATCCATTGGAGATGAGGCGCGTTACTCTCAGAATATACAGAGAGTTAGTAAAACGAGATGAGTGTTCCGACAAGGCTTGTATCTATAACTACCACGGAGATATAAATTAGGGTAGTATAATGATGATATCATAAGCGAAGAAGCGAAGTTTGTTTTCAGCCTCACAATCTAAAGTTAGTCTGCCAAGATCTTGGTCCAGGGTTCACGATAGCTTCAATGACGACTGTGCCGTACATACTCACGACTAATGGCAACAAGCGTTACCGCCTTATAACCCTGGGAAATCTGCAAAGCCATTCTTTCTAGGAACCCTGAATACAGTGACAGATGACCCTTTCCTGGTTAAGTTTATCGTGAGCGGCGCATGGGTTTCTGTGCAATAGCAGGGTAAGGCGCAAGGGCGGCCGCTCGATGTATGTTGAGGCTCGGGCTATAGAGTATTCGGCAGATGTTAGTGGGAGCCGTAGTTACGATATCAATCACTCAGCACACTAATTGAAACAACCTACCATTTAGTAAGCCAGAATACTTTCAGCCTGTATGAATTTGATGATGTGTTGATGTCCCCAGAAGGGGCACATACAATCTTTCTTTGCCGTATGAAAGTGCCGACATAAATCTTACAACGCACTGCTACTCAACACCATCTGATTCTGAGGACTCAAATGTCAGCACTATAGCGATCACAGGCACACAGAACACCTCGGTAGTTAAGTTCAAGCTCTATTTTGAGCCTCGCTCTTCGACCCCAGTTTCTTCCGTATCAAGCTTTCGACAGCTTTTCTTCTAAGGGTTTCCTCGGGTTATCATGCCTTACAGGAAAGTTCGCCGAACTATCGGCCAGCCTCAGATGCTAAACTATTACAGGAAAAGTCTCATCCTCCCCGGATCGGTCCCGCGTGTTACCCGCCCATTAGCGTAGCGTGGGCGTGGCCTGACTTGAGGGGTGAAACCCTCCGCTTATACACACATACAGTGATTGTAAACTCACCGGACGCACGAACTTGTTGACTTGTTAGACCAAGCTGGTTGAATCTTGCCAGTTGTCGTGTCATGTCATGCCTCGGCTTGACAGATGGAGATTTACGTGCATGATCACTAACACCACTTATCACAGACTCTTCACGGGACTAACATGCTTGGAGATTATCTAACGTTAAGCACGTGTCTCTGCGCACCATAAGACGAGATAGAGGCTCGTCTAACCTTCACTCTAGCCTTACGCAGTTCAAGTCGTGTAAGCGCCCAACCAAGTGCGGGCCGCCTCCTCCAAAGCTTGGCTTGCATCTGTAACCCTTGCCCTGCTGTGCATATTCGGAGGTTACACTCAAGTAAAACTCCTTCGCCAACGGAGGCGGACCGACTCTACGAATCTTGTTCGAAACTAGAAATCGCCGTGATCAAGATGTGCATTTCAAGGATCGGGAGAGTCTCTATTTGTGGTTGTGAGTTGTATTGACCGAGTATCAATTGGACACACTCTTGCTAGCTAAAATAATACCCCGTAGCTCCCAGCCTCTCCCGCAATTTGACGGAGTACTTCTGTTGTAATGAGCAGGGGTTGAAACACGCACTTTTACAGATACGGAACTAGATGCGGAATTACAATCAGAGAGTTACAGTTGAGAGTTGCAGTCTCGCCAAGTTGCATACATACTTGAACCGCCAATTCTGCTCTGACTGCTTGATACTTGATGCATGAGACAGTATATGAGGTCCGTTCATATACAGAACAATATCCGTCGTATCTATTCTCAGCAAGACAGAGCGGAAATGAAATCATAACAACTGAGACATGCTTCCGCGAGCGCCTATAGACGAGTCAACAACCAGTGAGAAAGCTCATCAGAAATTTATCATATATTGCTTTATGCGTCTTTTTATAACAGCCACTCCCGTCCCCAACCTCTTTCATTACAGCCCCCAATCGCAAGAACACCCACTGCTTCATGCTTGAGAAAAATCAAGATCAGACATGTTGAGTAACCTTGCCTCTGCATCTGCCTTGCATCGCCGGCTGATATGTATGAACGGCTGCATGAGCAATTCCCTTCACCGCATCGTTCGTATAAACAACTCCATTTCGGATAGAGGGTGAAAGGTGATGCGTAATATCTCGTTCCGCATAGCCGTAGGTAGCAAGTCCGGTCCTTGACGGGGATTACGGCGGCGACTACCCGTAAATTACTAGATAGACTTGGTTGATCGGATCGCAGATCTTTTGATCTTACGGGTCTCGTGGTGTCTTCCTGCTGGTGGAGTAATTTCTATCAAGTATTCTGACACAGTTTCGTAGCGACGATCACTTACGTGCATATGTTACTCGTTGAACTAGGCACCAGTTTAGAGCCCTTGGCGTATAATCCTTCATAATAGGAAATCCGTGTCTGAGCACAGTTTTGGGTGCATTCTTCGAAGAATTGCTGACGTGGTCATGCGATGTTGATGTAACAGAAATTGCTGGGCAGTATGCAATTGACTTTATAATATTATGACACGATAATGACTGGTCTTATGCTTTGACCTCAGGATGTCTCGCACGGATTACAGGGCTGTGTAATACGAATTAGGGTCATAGTTCAGGAAAACTATAGTCGAGATTGAGTAAAAGCGATGGATGTCAGTGAGGCAATGTTTGCGAGCACAGCTATGTACAAGTCACCTAGCGAATAAGGCTGATAACTCACTTGCTACTGCCAGTGTTGATCCACTATCTGAGGGCTCACATTCAAAGTCCCAGTCCTGAGATTGCTGGAATAGCCTTAATGCAAAGAAGATATATCACAGGTTTGCATCATGGTCGCACCTTTCGGTCCTTTAGGGATAAGTTTTAACGTAACTATAATACACATATTCATCAGTTTATGATTAAACATTTGTAACTCAGAGTGGTATTGGCTGTCGTTTGGCTCTGAAACTATCTGGTCAATGACCCATAAGAAGATGAGGAATTCAACTTCCACGACTTCTGGTGAGGATTTAGGAATAACAAACTAGGTAAATCTATTCCAAAAGCCTGAGTTCAGGTTCTTATAAGTTACAGAACTCTATCATCGAGTATAAATGCGGGAGTTAGTAGTAGTTAGCTTACACACTCGCTGTTGCCCTGATGGGACGTAGGCAATGAACAAGAACAGCTAAATGGTGCGGGCGAGATCTTTAGAGGTTCCAATGCCTTATAATTTTCCCCGCCATTCGGCTAGTTCAACGGTAAAACATCCATTTCCGAAGTTCAGGCAAGGTGAGGATGAGGTACTGAGTAGGCCTTGAGATGCAACCATCACATCATTAGCAGTTATTTGTTGATATAACAGATGTAAACTAGAATAATTTATTCCTTCTTCGTGTTTTTAGTTCGTCTGCCACATAGTGTAGGTATTTAACAACAAGTCCCCCTTTCCAATGCACGAACAGGCACAGTAACAACCTCATCGCGCCGCATGGTACGATATAACGACTGTTTGAGTCATTTCACACAATAGTCTTCACAGAGCGGTTGTAAACTAGACTCTTCTGCTCCTCGGCAAGTTTCATCTGCCACAATACCTGTAAAGCGGTCGAGTGTCTTGCATTGACCAACTTGTAAGTCGCCATCTCCCCCTCGAGAATTCGTGTTTATGGGGACGGGCAAGTGTACCATATAAGTGAGTACTTACCATATATCATCTATCATGTGTCTTTGCGCTCACGACGTCAGGAGGTTTAACACTGCATCTATGAACAATACACGATTATCAAGTTAACAGCGACTGACCATAACATCATAAGGAATGGCATTATAGCTTTTAACGACATTACGATCAGTGGCGACGAGGGGATAAGTATACGCGTGGGCGCCAGCCATGGGAATAGACTGGAATAGCAGAAGTGTTGGAGGGTTATCAGGTATCCTATACCGAGTGAGAAATTCTGGCTTTGATGCAATGGGCAGAGATGGGTGGATGTTTGTAGGTTTTGCAGGCGAATAATGTCTCCGAGATCCCCTGACTATACATCTCTTGCCCGGCGGCTTCGTTTAGTAGCTTGATTGAGATGGATTCATCATGATTGGACAACTATCTATAAGGAAGTTCAATAGCAGAGACTGGACAGTCTACATACATGTAGCATAGTCCCAACAAATAAAGTTCTCCCTCGGGCTTCCTTCCAAAGGAATGTATGTTGGGTCTCATTCTTTGACTTTCCACTGAGTCCCTCGTTCAGATCACCAGATAGCGCACCCAGGGATAAATAGGCATTATTGAACACGAGATACATCCGTGAGTTCATGCAGACAATAGCTTAGGATGTTTTGATCGCGCCAGTTTATACAACATGGCTAGTGCTTGACAGAAGCACGGTATTGCAAGGGATCTCCTGGATCCAATGAGCAACAAAACAACATAAGGTCAAAGTCCGCAATATGTTCTGTTTGTCTCGACGGCAATACAAGATGCTGTGTTTCATTGGGCTGCTAGTTCTGTAAACCAGGGCCCCTCGGCTTCCATACTGTTGATTAAAGATAGACGGATCACATCGCAACTTACCTCCAATTTACACTAGACAATATGAGGATCAGAGATAAATACTCAAGAAATCTGTGCCCTTGATCTATAACTCCTTACAAACTCTCATAATGGTTCTATTTTCTAGTGTCACTCAGGGCTTAAACGACATAATTAGATCTTTGCACATCCCGATGTCACAGGACGCTCGATAGCACGTATAATAGACCACCTGCTTCTGCTAACAATTCTAGTGTGACAATAGATAACATAGGAGCCGATTTTATGAGCCTTGATATCGTTCCCACGGATAGTATCGTTTCAAGAGAACCTGGTGAATAATGGTTCCTCCAATTCACTCATCATTCGCCAGTTTAACCTGGTCCTTATATGGGTTTGTCTTTCAAACAAGCCTTGATATATGACAGCTCAGGCTCACCGGTGTGCCACTTCAAGGCCACAGCTCAGTCTTCTCCCAAGAACCATCCTTCAACTTATAATTCCATCTCCTGCCATCCTCAGGATCACTTAGGTCAACCCGGTCCACCTCCTCTGGCACAATCACCACAACACGGAAATTCTTCCTTGCAATCTCATCGTCAAGATCTTCGACTTTCTGCCCGAGTCCGAGTCCAGGAGCGGGCTTTTCATCTCGTTTTGTGCCAGGAGGGGGATTTCGGAACGATCCTCGCATGCCAGGGCTCAAGTTTCCAAAGTGTGCAGTGATCTCTTTGCCCCAATTCCAGGAACCCGAATCATCATTATTCTTGAGTCGCATATAATTTTCTATCTCTTGCCTGATGTGTGAGGCTGATGGATCATCGATATCTTGGCCAAGGAGATAAGCGCGGCCGCGTAAACGCCACTGAGTTTTGGTCTCTACGACCCAGAAGACAGCTTCGACAGGTCCACCGCCGCCAGACTGTGGGATGCTCTCTCCATCTGTTGATAATTCGGGGATTTTTTCCATACGAGCATCAGTAGTGATGGTGAGAAGGTCGCTCTCGTAGAGGGAGGGGTTGAGAGGTGCCTGGTTCTTGGGGTTGACGGGAATCTCAGCCCATGTGCCTCGATACACGACGGTACGGGAACGAGGAGTGACTGAAGAGCCATGATGGTGAAGGGTACTGAGCATGAAAGTTGGAGATTCCATCTTGTCAACGTGGGATAGAAAAGCTGAGCGCCATGGCGCTCGTAACGGGTGGTGTGCTGACATTGTGTGTTGAAGATGGCCGAAAATCTGAGTTGTTCGCTGGATGGATCGCGTTACAGGTCTCATGGACAGTGAGAGTTGTGAGCTATTACGGGAACTTTGTTGCTGTACTTGACCGTTGTGAGATTGCTGTGAGTGACGCTGGTTAGTGATGAGGTCGTCAAACCCCACTTCAACATTCAGCATCATAGGTCAATTATGGGAACATCGATCTATGAGTCATGACAACGACAGTTAAGTCAGGAGAACATATCAAAGAGCCGAGAGTTGAAATGCTAACGGTATGGAACCTACCTCAAGCTAATTCTCATAGCAACTCTCCAGGTACAGGGTAACAATATGAAGAAACCATCACAGGATTCAGATTCTGAATTTGCAATGGTCTAGCCAGGGCTGACCCAACAATGATCCACCCACATACATATCCAGAATATTTCCGCCCTCGGGTCGTACTTTTACGATCGTTTTTCAAACCCGTAGTCTCACCATTTAGGTTTTATAGTGTTAAGCTTGGTCTTTCTCGCTGCAACGTAACACACTGATGATTTGCATCGTGAGGTTGACAACTAGTCATAGGAAATATAATTGAAGACCACTAATGACTCTGCTTGGCTCGCTTGACCTTGTCTGATCCTACAGCGTATGACTAATTAGCTTGTTAACTTATATTAGCACAGACACTCATCACAAATGTTCAAGAACTGTTGACATTCCACGTGATGAATCCGGCCAGGGTTTAAGGACTCTAATTGCTAGAAAAAGAGATATCGCCAAATGCAAGCCACGCAGAGAATATGACGAGGTGGCCACTCAAAGTCCAGAGCCAATGCTGGCAAAGAACGTTGTCAGTTGCCGCAGGGTATTCTGTCCCATTAAAAAAGGACATTGCGTACGTCATGAGCTCCGCCTGAGATTGGTCAGCGAAGTTCTCTCTGAATGTTCCAGACCGTCCGGGGTCCGGGGCTTGAGGGAGACTAGCAACGGAGGCTGGTGGGAGCGGCAATACCAGCGGAAGTTGGCGACGCGAACAGGGGGTTGTTACGAAACTATGAATTGCCGTCGTCGCTATCGTAATGTAGGGAGACAATCTTGAATGAGTTGGGGGGGTGATTGACCAACAAAAATGGCGCTTCTTGATATTGTCCCCCTCGTAACTTGGCCACTATTGTCTCGTGTTTGCTGTGTTGGGAGAAGGGATGTAGTGCATCAGGGGACTCCGAGAGAGGAGAAAAGAAAAGAAAAGGATCGACATCGCTTCTCTCATTCTTTCTCGAAGCTTGCCTGGTACGTAAGTTGATGCACAGTAGCGCAACTGCCAGCTGCCGCTACATTCTTGGTGATCAGACAAGACGTCATGAGCTGGCAAGAAGAGTCCAAGGGCGATTTAGAGTTGAGAGTAGGGATTCGATGGAACGCGGCATACAAGAAAGGGAAGATCAAGGAAGTGTTCATGTGTTCCGTTCCGTTTCCGTTAACAGGGGTGCAGTTGATATTGAGTTTGACTATCAACGACTGGGATTCGTCCGGCAGCTCTGGTAGGCCAATTTAAGCGGAGAAAGCTGGAGATGCTCGTCTCAGGCACGGAGATCGACTAGGACTTGTCGGAGCGATGTAGTTCCTCAAGGCGGTCGACCAGAAGACTTGGCTTTGAACCAAAGCCGCTGGCGCCCGACTTTACCAGGGTGCCGGACTGTTGGGATCGGGTTGGTCTTGCTTCTGCGGCGATCGTTTTCAGATGCGGCCCATTCAGAACTACCCAACCTTAACATGATTTCTCGGCCTGTCCACTAGATTCAAGTTTCTGCGTTGCAATTAAATCAGCGTCGCTTTTGAAGTACCGGTCAATCCGCTGGGGTGATATATGAGCTGATGTTAGAAGTTTCAAACGAATTCGTCTGTGATAGTCACACACTCGAAGCATGTTTGATTCCTTCGGTTGCATCTAATTGCGCAGACACATTTCGCCCATATTCAAATTACCGTATTTCTGCCCTGGTATGGCATTTCGACTAAGTCTGTGTGCATGTCTCACAGTGAAATATTTTGAATTGCCTCAGGAAGTCAAAGTTAGAGAGGCGCTCAGCCAAGTGGAGATGACCATAACTTGGTCATTGCCTTTTTAGCTAAAAAAGACCCTGGGCCTGGGCCAGCCATATTGCATGTCATTTCCCCCAGGGTCTCTTAAAATCCAATGGCGACATTTCGCGATGTCCTCAAACAAAGGTTGGAAGAAAATATGGGAATATGTTGGTGGATTTCATATACAGATCTGCGCTCTTTTTGTCAGGTCCGCGAATCGAGCGACGACGTACGTACTAGTTGACCGACTCGGCACTTGTTGACGAGGCCTTCAACCATTAACGGAGTCCTCGGTCGATCCGTGCACCGTTTAGCTCTTGATAGTCACGGAGTACCACTTGAAGGGGTACCTGACCGAGCCTAGAAGGGAACAAGGAGGCTGAAAGTGAAAGGCCTCGCTTGAAGAGTGGGATGGCCAATTCTTGTTTCGAAGCGAGGTGGGAGAGACCAAGTAGATCAGACGGACATGTAAGAGGTTGAGAGAAACCTGGGCTCATAGTCTGATGTTATTTACCCCTTTGTATCGAGTAATGAATGGAGTCTAGGAATAAGTTTCAACGGAACATGGCTGCGGGCTAGTTGCATTAGGGGAGTTCGGTAGTTTCCCATTGGCACTAATTGGGCGTCAACAATTTGCTGCAATCATTTGCACCTGTCAGAACTGTTTTCGATTTGTATCGATATTTGTAGATCTGGCGTCCAATGGTGGTTGTTCTTGGCGATCGAGTGTGGTCAGAAGAACGCCAGAGTCTCACTGAGTCTTATGTGCGAAAAGCCAACAAGAATAACGAAACGAAGTCAAGATTCGGTAGCTATCTGTAGTTCGTGATAGTCTTCACTTTGACAAGGCGCAAGACGTCGTCTGAGTAAGTATGGTCTGAGTCGTAGAACGGATGGATACCCCTAGAAGGGTCTAACATCGATCAGACGGGTGTACGCGAAAAAAATACATGTAAGATGAAGAAAAATAGCCACGATTTATGAGATGGATGGATGAAATTTGTTATTACCCTTGATCTTGGGCAGGTACGGAAGACAAAAAACCACGCGCCAGCGGGCGCAAATTCCGCACCTAACGCATACAACTGCCATTAGAGGCATGGTAAGTTAGGGGTCTCCTGGTGGAAAGGTACCTACAGTACTAGTAAAGTGCACACTTTGTAGAGTGCTGTTGCCATTCCCACTTTGTTACTTGCTCCGCCCCCGCCTTTTTTTTTTCCACGCCCAGGGCATCACTCCTCTTATTTTTGACTCTTTTTCCTCTACTGTCCCATTTCGCAATTCCCTTTTCTTTTCCGGGGTCTCTCTCTTTTTTTTCGGTTCCATTTCGACCTTGTTATTCCCTTGGATTGATTCTGCACTTTAAGAGGCTCTTTTACACTCTGGCCCTACCGACACGGATACAGTGCTTGCTCTCACTATATCCGTTACTGACTGCTTCCGCCAACCGTCGCTATCACTCGTTATCTACCTACCGTTACGGCTGTTCTAGTGCTTTTATATTGCCCAGGACTAACAAACTCTTTGCCGTCCGTTTGCTCTACCCCAGCTACTGCTGCTACCGCTGCCGCTGCCCTGCCGCGGCTGCCCATATCCGGCCGTTATTTCCAGCGCCGCCCACTGCCAGCAGCCGAGTTCCGGCGACATAAAATCATTCCCGCGTCAGTTTAAATCAGCAAGCCGTATCAGCTCAGATTCCAGTCATTATTCCCGGGGTCTTCCACCTAAACCTAAAGTTATCCCCAGAGCTATCAGAGCTCCAGCTCCAGCAACAGCTAAAGCTCTGGATCCAATCGAACTTCTTTTCGGTCCAGGTAAATCCCAGATCTCAGCCCCATTTTCTTTCAGATCCAGCTCCCTCTGCAACGTCCAATTGACGCGCCCGTAATACCCTCAAAAAAGGCGCTCATCCACTGGACCGAATATTTTGGTGAGCTTTGTATCATCCATCGTCAATGGATCTATCACAGCGGGCGCTTCCGCGTCACACTCATCACCAACCACCACCGTCTCTCTCAAATCCTTCGCCTTCTCATCTGCCTGCTCAACATTCTACGTCTATGTATAGTCCTGGTCCCGTTGCCTCGCATCCAACTCTCCCTCTTCCCGGAACTCACCCGCCATCCTCGGCCTTGACACCAGGATCGGCCTCAACATCCCCTGCATCCATCTCCCATCGGTTGCCTTCAGCATCAGCTTCCACGACATCAAGGCATCCTACTGGCGATTATCTCCCTGACGCGGATGATCAAGACGCGTCGACACCCGTGGATGGAGAGGAACCCCCAAAGAAGAAGCAAAAGCGCAACAAGCCAACTCTTTCATGTCATGAATGCGTAGAGCGCAAGACCAAGGTGCGACATTTTATCAATCCATTTCATTTTCTCATGTTGTGTCGTGCTGTCTGCATATCATCTCTCATCTCTACTCACCTTCCCCATATGGGATGAGCCCACTTTACCCCGACATTCTGGCTCAGTATCGAATTTGATCATCCTGGGTTGTCTGAGCATGCCCAAACAATGCCTCTTCTTTCCTTTTGTTGCATGAAAATGAGTTTGGTTGGTTGGGTAAATTACTGACACCATTCAAAGTGTGACAGAGGTCGACCTCATTGTCTTGCCTGTAAGTGCACCTGGATGTTGCTTTGCTGGTTTTATACTAACCTCAGCTAGGCATAAAACGACAAACTGAATGCCGATATGCCCATGTCGCAAATCTTCTCGAGTATGAAGCCTCCCGACTGAGCAACTATATGTTCTGGTTAACAATCAAGTAGGGAGACCACCAGGTCCGCCGCCAATGGCCGCCGCATGACGAAACCTCCAAAGAAGAAGTCTGGCTCTAGTGGAAAGTCCCCCATTCCAAATATTGCAGATAGGGGTATGTCGAATGATCCCAGGGCAACCTCGCGTGGCGCTGTTGCCCTTTCCATCGGCCTTCTGTCCAATGTTCCTTATTCCTTGCCTTCTGCAAGTAATGTTTTTGGTATCGGATCCGAGCACCCATTTGCCAACTACTGGACCTGCGAAGGGGGCTTGCCTGAGGTTATCTCGGTGCTTCCAGACAAGATTCAAGCCGATATACTACTTAGTCGATACTTCGAATGTGTCGATCCTGTGTATCCTATGATACATCGCCAGACATTCTATGCGGACTACGAACACTTCTGGCAGATGAACCAGCAAGAAAAGACCGATACAGACCCTTCTTTCATTGCATTGATCTTTGTCATGCTGGCCCTGGGAACTCAGTTTGTAACATCGACAACATCCCCACAGGAACGAAGGCAGACAGCAGAGTTCTATGCTTCGGCTAGCAACCAAGCTCTCCGTATCGCATCATATCTTAGCAGTGCATCGTTACGGTCAATTCAGGCTATGGTATTGTTAGTGTACTTCCTTATTAACGACAACCATGCCTCAGATGGGTGGGCGTTTGCAGGTATTCTGATTCGGCAAGCTTATGCTATGGGTCTACATAGAGATCCAAATATTGGTGGGTGACTTGTTTTTCATTTGCAACTTTTATTATACTGATGCCTTTTAGTAACTCCAAATGCCACCTTGTTCGAGAAGCAGCAGCGGCGTAAGGTCTGGCAAGCGGTACTTCTCCAAGATACTTTCCTGACCGTCTTACTCTCCCTGCCACCCTCTGCGACACATACAGATGTTTCCGTGGAAGATCTACTCGACGATGGCTCCTCGATTGCAAATAGCGACCCAACAGATACGGCATATATCCGAGGCTCTTGGACTTTGGCCAACTTGGTTCAGGAGACGATTTGCTCACCAAGATCGTTAGACTTACCAATCTGCACTACGGCAAGGCATAAGTCTAAGTTGATTGCCGACTTCCGAGCTGTTTACCGTTCTTTCCCTGACGTCTTCCGGTCTTGGGATCCTGATAGTATCACGGCGCTCGCGAAAACCAATAAGAGGGTGGTTCGTCAGACCCTGTTCCTGACGAGCAACTACTTCCATAACTTGATGCTTGTTCATGCTTCTGAGAGCCCTGATGTTCCTGTCAATGTTCGCGGTACGCTGGAGGCAGCGCACGACGCTATTACAGCCTTCTTCCTTCTTTTCACCCTTCTTGAAATAGAAGCACGTGTTTGGTGGGTGTTCAATCACCGAGCTTTCTTGGAGGCGCTGTGTATCGGAAATGTCCTGAAGGAGGCTGCCCGAGAGCCAGGCGGTGCAGATATGATGGCAAGAGATCCTCTCCTTGTCAGGGCAAAAGCTGATATCAGTGAGTATTAATGCCTTTGTTGTTCCTGGCCCCCCTGCTAACATGTCAACAGCACGCATGATCCAAATCATGCAGGTTATGGGCGAAGACTCTGAAGTAGCGAGGACTCGAGTGCAGGTTTTGAGTGACTTTTTGGCATGAATGAGGCAGTAGTCTGCTTGTATAAAAGTGTTCTGGTTGACGATTGAATGAGACGTGAAGCATGTTCAGGGGTAGCATTGGTCTAGCACGTCAGCAGATATCTAGCAAGGCATATGTACATACCGAATGCCATATTGTTTGATATTCAAGCTGCGAGTATTCGTTGCATGTTAGAAGATGAATAGAACTTAGCATAACATATGTATACTCTTTGAGTTTATTACAATGTTTGTTTGCTGTTCCATGATGTGTTTGTTTGAATTTCTTGGGGAATATGTCTGGTGAATGAACTATCCACGCTGTCAGTAATAACTAACAAGAGGGACAGAATGTCATGGTAATAATTTATTAGACATCTTGAAAATATTGAAGGCATTGCCATATTCAAATATTGCCAAGACAATCAAGGCAAGGGAATTGCCGATGCCGTTGTGCCCCACTCACGACACCAAAGACTCGGCCGGGGGCTGAAGGATGGACTCGTCAGCTCATGGTTAATGATTGGCCACTCGCTTATAGTGTGGGTTGATTGATTGCGTAGCCCGACCCTTTCAAGATAAGGCCGTCAGCCAGGCTAGACTCAACAGGGCTTCAGAGCTGTTTCAGTGCCTAAGCTATCGTGCGCTACAGGGCTTTTACAGGGCCTGTTTTGGGAGGCATCCGCGTGGCCAGGCTCCCACATCCCGTCTAGTCGCGTGGGCTTTTTCGCTCTCATTTCCACGGGCATGTCATCACCTCGACTCAGCTCGTCTCGTATTTGCTCTTAATTCTTTTTTCCCTTCTTTGAATTATCAACCTTTTCCCTCCTTGTCTCATTTTCGTATTCTTTTGCCTAAGGCTTCTTTGTAGCGCGGCTGCCTGCCTTATATCCCCTGCTCTGCCGTGTAAGAGGGGTTTTTGCAGTTGGAACTGCTCGGTGTCCTACCATAACGAGAGATACTCGACTTTCATACCTCAGTATGCGCGGCCTCGTTCAGGCTGCCGTGGTGCTAGCACCGACGTTGGTGTTGGCTCATGGACCTCACCATCCTCCTCCTCCGCCTCCTCCGCCTCCTCCCATGGGATTTCTTCCCTCAGCTCTCGATGTCACACCCTCAGCCTTTGTCACAGTCAAGCTCCCCTTGAGCGAATCTGAATCGTATCCTCTGGTCCGTCTTTGAGACTTGGTTACAACGTCATGAACTAACATGTGATAGACACTACGATTCGATGTGGAGGAATCAGAAGAAGTCTGTGGCCCCGCCAGCATCACCCTCAATGGCGAACCCCTCAAGCAAGACGCCAAGGGTCGCGGTGTCGGATCTTTTCTCGTCAACAATGAGACTACTATCTCAGCAGACTGGGATTTTGAATGCATCGGCCCCAAAGAATTCCCCTTCGGCCAGTCTATGCGCTTCAATGTCAAGGCCCTTGACGACATGGCTCTTACTCAGGAGTCTTCCTTCTGGATGACGTTCAAGCAAACCGCACCAGTTCGAATCTCCGACGTTGGAAACGCCGCCTATGTCTGGAGTCTGTCAATGCCTTTCAGCAAGGACAAGGAGTCCTCTTCTGACGACAAATCCACCTCTACATCACCGCCCATCTGGGAGTATCCCGACCGCGATTTCCAGGATCCCGAGGAGGAACTTCAGGTTGAGCTCATGGAACTGAATGCTTTGCACAAGCAGATTCTTCAGCTTGAGGAACTGGTGAAAGAGAGGGAGGCATCTGTTGCTAAGAAGCTGGGCAAGCAGTATCCTCCCCCACCCCCTTCGACTATGAAGAAGATCAAGCAGTGTGATGGCGTGCAGTGTGTGCTGCACACTGTTGGTGAGGAGATGCGACACTCAGCTCACAGATTCTACGACAGCATATTTGGACATCCTCCACCCCCTCATGGTCCTCATCATGGCCCTCATCATGGAAACGGTACTCACCGGGGCCCTCATCCTCCTCATCATGGACCTCCTCATCACCCGCCGCCTCCTCACCATGGTCACCCTCCCTTCCCCTTCCCTGGAGGCCACCCTCCCCCTCCTATGTGCGCCCCTTGCGCCTGCGATCCTCACCATGGAAACCCTCCTTCCCCTCCTCACCATGGAGATAAGCCTCATCGCGACAGGCCTGAGCATGGCCACGGTGGCTTCCGCGCTGAGGATCATGAGGGTCACCCCCCTCCACCTGTAAGTCTAATGCTTCAACCAGAGAATGAACTCGTTTTAGCTAACTGCTCTTCAGCCTCCCCACCATCCCATCATTATCATCCTTGGAATCGTGACCATTGCTCTCGCTCTTTTCTGTGCTATTTCCATCGCCTACATTCACCGCCGTGTAGCGCGTCTCAGCCCTGAGGCTCGTCGTGCTATTCGCCGGGCATTCCGCCAAACCCGCGACGAGCGTCGCAAGAACTCTGCTCTTAAGGCTGCTTACCGTGCTTTTGTCACTCGATGGATCGAGAACGAGGACGACGAGAAGGAGGCCATGCTCAGCGGTGAGCGACGTCGACGATCATCTTCCTGCAGCAGCGTGACCATGGAAGAGGAGATTGCTTCTTTCCGTGAGGCTGCTCATATGGTTGAGGGCATCGTCGCTGCTGAGGAGGGTCACCACAGCCATGCTCGTTCTTACAGCTACGCTGCTGGTCCTCCTGTTCCTCCCCGTCCCTCACACACCACTGCTGCCACAGCATACCCCGGTTTCATGGAGACAGATGAAAGCCTTCCCGCCTACGACGACGATGAGCGTGACTCGTCGGTTGTAGCAGATGGATGCCGATACACTCCTGGCAGCTCCGATTATACCCCTTCAAACTCCGGATCCAATGCCAGTGATGTTCTGGGGGATACCAAGAACTAAATTAGACAATGACTTTGGGCATGAATGATTTTCTTTGCATATTACTATGATACACCAGATTTCCTTGTTTTGAATTTATGCACATCAGATGTGGGATATTGGGAATTGTATTTACAAACAGCAAACGCTCTCGCTCAATAGAAGCTATAGCAATCTAATACCACAACTTGAAAAATGCCTCTATAATACGCTCTCATGCGTGATCTACTTGCTGGTGCTTATTCGTGCATGATCGTCTTTGTCTATGACCCAAATATGAACTCTTCGTAATTCTTCGCAATTTTCTCGACGCCTTCGTCAAGGTTCCAGCCCTTGACCTTACAGACATGTCGGTACATGTCTTCCAATGCACTGTCCATGTGTTCGCCCGCAATGTGCAAATCACTCTCCACCAGGATGCTGTCGTCAGGCAGAGCCCGTAGCACATCGTCGGTTTTATTCCGGCCAGCATCGGTGCTTAGATTGACAGCCGTTGATAATGACACAAAAATACGAGCCGGGATGGCCCGGTTCAGATACTGCCTCAATACTTCGACGCTAGCGCTGAATGAATGCAGACATATTCGTGGAGGGTACGGCTTCTCGCTGCCGTCGTCGTCCTCGTCTGAGAAGTCCTCAGCACCCGATGCCACAAGACGGCGCTTTCGTCGTGTTATAATTTCCCGCTCGTGACCCTTCCACGTTGCCGCGAGAGTCTCGTGCAAGAGGCCGTGAGCTTGCACGCCATGCACACTAACAGCTCTTCGAGTTTTTGCAGCAAGACGAAGCTGTGCGGCAAGAATATCACGCTGGTGCTCTATTTTCACCCGATAAGGGCTGAGCTGTCGACCCTCACGACCCCCTGGGGTGAGCGTTGAATCTCTCTCTGCATGTTCTGATGGATGCCAAGGTTCTGGAAGACGAAAAGCCTTATCAAGGCCGATCTCACCAACAAGGGCGTGGGGACTAGTAGATAAACGGATTTCAGTTGCTTTGAGAAACGAGCTTACAGCGATAGGAGAAGGAAGAGAAGCAACAAAGTCTGGTGAGGGCACCGGCTGTAGAACGGCAGCATAATGGGCTTGTTTGGCGGCATGGTCGGCCTCGGAGCCGGAGGTGGGCTGAAATGTCGGAGTATTGGCCGAGTCGTCATAGAGTAAATGGGAAAACCACGGATGCCAGCCAAATGAGGGAATAGCACCGGTATCTATTGCTTCGGAGTTGCCTTGACACAGCGCTTTGAGATCTGGGTTTGAATGTCTTCTGGCGACATCTGCAACGAGGTCCTGGTCCTGGGCACGTGTTGCCATGATGGTCAAAGCAGCAGCACGCATAGAGGGTATATCAGTTATTGAAGCCATTGTATCTGTTGGATGGCAGTGGGCGTCGCATATTGGCAGATGCCAGGGGAATGGAGGTTGGTCCCCTGCAGGTTCTGGCTTGGACTGCTGAGGCTCATCATAGTTATGGGTGTGTTGACACATGTTGGTGTTGATGATCTGATAATGATATAGTCAAAGTGGTGTCGAGATAGCGGAGTTTGGTTGGCACTATTGACGTGGTTTCCGTCGAAAAGAGCATATGTGAGATTGTTACCATCAATGGCTAAGGTTTTGAGGGCTTGATGCTATGAATGACAAGTTTGAGTGATGTCAGCGGGGAAAAGCTGATGTGGATCATGATGGGCCAGGCATTATCGAGGCTCCAAGTGGGGTTGACTTATGATGAGGCTGGTCAATGCAGTACGAACATAAACAGCCAGTTAATCTGGGGTAAATCTCTATTAGCTTGAATCTAATGAATTTGGGAAGCCGAGTTTCAAGTTTGTGGATGAATATCAACTGCCTCGGCTTGTAATCACTCATGTGACGTGTGTGGTTGATGTTGGTTATCAATGGGCTTCAGTGGTAGAAGCTGTAAGTTGCTGGACCGTTTTTAGTGTAACCACCGTTTCCAGGGTTCTTTTGTGTTGCAGTTGACCCTCGCTGGGCGCAGATTACTCGGAAGTTTAATGTAGTCATCCAGTGTCTTGATATATCAGCATTGTGATAAGGATTTGATACTGCAAGTGCATCAAAAAGCTCGTCATAATATAAAATCATGCCTTATCGTTGCATTCCACCACTACCGTTGCTTTATCTGTACAGTTTGGCAGGTATCATTGACCCTCCTTCTGCCAACATGAAGCTTCCTCCTACCTCTAACTATCACTGCATCTCTTCCTGGAACAGGTCCCCCGCACGATCCTTCCCCGTGGCTTGTCGCGTTGCCGTACGACAGTCACCTCAGACACCATAAAAATGGGCAAGTGCAGCATGCAAACCGACCTAAGCCAAGCCAGGCCAAGGCGAGCCACCATTCACATGTGATTGCCTCCTCTCAGTGTAATCCTCCTCACCTTAGACCTCCGTCGTTTTTCTTTTACCTTGTGCCTTCTCCTCTTTTCTTCCCATCTCCCGAGATACATATAATTACGACTTCTACTTTGCCCCAGCTACAGCTTGATGCAACCCTGTAGAGTCACATTCACCGTACACCGACGCTACATTCTCGCTGGCTCAAGCACCTAACCCCTCCGCGGCGCATCTTTTTTAGCTCCCCGGAAACAATCTATCCTATCACGGCTTTGGGGGATGTCGACGCATATCTCGTCCTAGAGCGGCATCCATCCATTCTATGTACATATCGGTACTCTACACCAACTAGTTGTCCACCTCTTGGTTCTCTTTCTTCTTCCTCTTACTTCTTATTCTTTCATTTCCACATCTTCTTTCTCCTTATAGCCCGTGCCTCGACTCGGCTTTCACCTGTAACCACTAATTACATTGTCGACAACCTCCACGCCTCCATACAGCACTCCTCGAAGCTGCTGTGGTCATGTGCTGCTAGTCTCGTTCTGTATCACCATCAATATGGCACTCCTCAACCCTGTATACGCCTTCGTCGTGCCCTTCCTGTTTGTCGTCACCGTTCCTCTTGCTGTTTTTGCTGGTATCACAACTACTATCGCCTTCTCTGTTCTCATCCTCCGAGTGTTGGCTGTGTATCTCGACGTTGCTCTATCCTTCGTTCCTCACTACTTAGGTGGACGTAAGACTCGACCTTATCATCCAAATACTTATCATCCTCACCACCAACTCCTCGAACCGGCACCTGCAACGCTCTATACCAATCCAACACCTGCTTCTGCCGGTTCAACAGCATTTGAGTCCTCTTTGCGACGCCGCCGACATAGAAGAAGCTCTAGTGCTCTATCCACGGCAGGCACTACCACTCCAATTAGCGAAAAGGGACTTGGCTTACTACCAAGCATTGGTCCAGAGCGAGACTTTGAAGGCGTTGGTGGCTGGCGTCTGGGAGGCGACGATGAAACATGGACCACCATAAACTCACGACTTGAATTACCTGACAAGCAACATCATGGGCGAAATCATCATCGTTCCCCATCTGGTGGCCCCACGACACCTGGAGAGGGCGGGTACCTCATGATGAAGGGTCGTAATCGAAGCCCAGGAGCAAAACGCACATTAGCATCTCCTAATAGCTCCCGTACAAGAACACCTTCAGGCCCTCGGATTGCTTTCACAAACAAGTCATTCATTGACAGCTACTTCCCAAGTCTCAAAACCTCTCCGAAGGGACTGAAAAAGCCCCCGTCTCAGGGTGTCGTCGATGCGTAAGAACGACAAGGACTCTCTGCGACATCGTGTAAACTATTCTAATGATCTAATGAAAAGCTGTGGTTAAGGAGGTAAATGGAACTGGACCAAAAGTGTCACAGTTAAATGGTGATATGGGGGTTTCCATTGGCGTTTTAGCGAGAATTTGTCAATTATCTGAATTCAGATGATGATGATGATGCAAAAATAAAGATAGCAATGCTATTTCTAAAGAAAACGACAGGGGCGAATTCCAATCTGCTATTGCTCAATACTAAAATGATGCATTCGTTGCAATATCCTATTCCTGGTATCTGCAACGCCTCCAACGCCAACCCAGTGTAAATCCATTATCGTAAAAGATTGGCCAACCAAAAAGAAGGGGTTGTCTTAGAGAGTCTGCCAGAAGTAGTTTGCGTAAAAGAATCGCGAGAATTTCTTGTCCATGTTGACAACATGCACATCCCCTTTGCGATCATTCCGAATAACAGCCTTAGACCACTCCCCATCCCTCTCGTCCCTCTCAATGTCGATGCCCAGGCTCCGGTACACCTTGAGCCTCAGCAGCACCTCATCATCAACTGGATCTCTGCGTCGAGCATTAGCTGCCGCATCGCCCTCCACGCCCTGAAGCTCCAGCTCGCGAAGACGAGCCTTGAGGTCGGCGGCCGTCAGAGCAAGGCGCTCAGCGTCGGTCTCAGCATCAGCAGCAGCTTTGGCGGTGCGGAATTTCAGGGTATCTAGGCGTGCGATGTTGGACGCGTGGTCGGCTGATGAGTGGGACGCAACGAGGTCGTCATGTCGCGATGTGTGTGTTGCGAGCTGACGAGAGAGCTTCTTCAGTGAGGATTCTGCCTCACGGACGCGGAGATCGCGAGCTTGTTGCAGTGTTGAAAGTGACTCTGTAACGCGGGAGACGGCAAGCTTGTCTGGCGCGATGTTGAAATTTTCAATAGTATGGTGAATGAGCTGGATTTGTTAGCTTGGATAAAGGGGGTTACAGAGTTAAGGACTTACAGTTGCGGGTTCTTCGGAGAGCAACATCTTTGTGACTTATCCCGAGTATTTGACTCAAATGTGGGAGATTTCGTGTTAATGGCAGCTGTAAAATGAAATTCCTCTACAGTCTTATACGGTGATGATGATGGACTTGGTGTTTTGCCAACGCATCTCCCTTTTGGGCTAAACACGTTTCCGTCGTCACGACGACAATCAGAACTTATCTTATCGGCGTCCACCCCACCTCATTTAACCGAGCTTTGCCCGACAACGCCGCACAGCGTCATCGGGCCCGCCACAGCCAGGCAAAGGTGAAGCCGAAAAGAGCTACCTCTGAATAACACGTGCAACCTCCATTACGTTACGTTTGCCATTCCACCTCGAAAGCCTCTTGATTCTGACGTAGATAATTTGTACCAAATCTCCTATTCCTCCTATACAGAATACACCTTTACGTTCTTTGTTCTCGAGGACTTGTTCTCTCAAAATGGTTACCGAACTACCATGTGAGTTTTAAACTGCATGACGATATTCTAGCTTATACTGATATCCTCGTTAGATGCGCTCGATGCCGAGACGTTAGTCCTTTGTCTTCAAGATACGACGATTTCTATATCCTGACTGACGGCGACAGACCGCTAAATGCCTCTGAACTCAATGTGCTAAAAGCGCAATATGAGCGCGAGGGTGAGATGGTTGGCATCCAGACCAAGTTTAACTATGCCTGGGTAACCCTCCTACCTCTTGATATATGATGTTTCACACTAACTGAGGACCAGGGCCTCGTCAAGTCCAACCAGCGAAACGACCAGCAGCTCGGCGTGCGTCTTCTCTCGGATATCTTCCGCATCTCCCCCGAACGTCGCCGCGAATGTCTCTACTACCTTGCCCTTGGCAACTACAAGCTCGGAAACTACGGCGAAGCGCGTCGGTACAACGATCTCCTTCTCGACAAGGAGCCCGCCAACCTTCAAGCGTCCAACCTACGCCAACTGATTGATGACAAGGTTGCCCGCGAGGGGCTGATGGGTGTTGCTATTCTGAGTGGTGTTGGTGTTGCGGCTGGTGTTGTGGGAGCATTTATTCTGAGGAATGCTAGGAAGAGGTAGATGACGGTATTATTTAGGAGGAAAACGTGCAGGAACATATATTGCATGGGCGGTTTCGGGGACACTTTACTCACTCTTCACTCTAACCTCTGGATTGGGCCCTATTGGAGTCTTGACATTATGAGATATGCTTGCACTACATAAAATGAAGCGACCCTTATTATATACGTTAACCCATTTTATACAAGTTTACCATTATTCATCCTAATTCCAACGCGATGTTGAGATGACTAGGACAGGACATTTGTTATCGGAAAGTCACATTCGACAAGGTAGTACAAATTTGCCGGATGTCTCACTACGCAATGGTTTTCACTCGTCAACGTCACAGACCAAAGTGTTGGAACAAGGAAGGCTAGACAAATAAAACAATGTTAAGGAAACCAAGAACAAGCCAGCTAAGAAACAAACCAAAGAGACGACGCATCACCATCTAGGGAATATCATCTGTCGAGACATAAACAACCATCCTTGTCTCAACAAACGTACAACTAAAATACAACAAGCTGCTGCTTGACAACCTCCTTGACATCACCCATCTGATCCTGTCTAATATCATCCATGACTGAGGCACCATTAAGCCCGAGGGGAAAGAAAAGGGTATCCGAAGGCACAGTATGTGAGCAGGGCAACAAGGTAATGTAGGTAAAGCTCAAGGAGCTAGCATGTCACCCTAAAAAATATGGCGAACCAGATGCATAAAACATATTAGCATCTACAACGTCTCTCCCAGCGAGAAGCGCTCAGATTGAAACACCTTTCGCCAGTTACCCTGCTGTTCTTCTCTCCAAAAGGTATTCTCATGTGAAAGATTAGAGGTAAAACCAACAGGTTCTCAGGTTTGGTTCGACTCAAAGCATGGTCTGAGTAAAACGCTTGCCTGTAACTTGACGTCATACCGAGACTCCTGCAAAGCCATATAGTCTGCATCTCCCGTCTTGCATGACTATTCTTCATAAATGACTTTTGTTCCGTCTCCGTACGACAATCATTCCATGTGGCATATGTGATGTGATGTGATGTGATTAGGAGACAATGTTTTGTTTCTTAATTAAAAAAAAAAAGGTGAGAGAAAGAGGCGACAAAGAAACGAGAATCGAATACAACGAGGGGCGTCGAGCTGGTATTGTATGGGCATCATGGGTACTCAGACATGGATAACGAAGGAGTGAAAGAATCCGCAAATCGTGAAGAGGCTGGAAGTTTAGCGAAGTGAGAAACCCTTTCGCTTTCCTTCCTTCTCTAGTGGCCGTCCGCTCTCGACGCGCTGCTTCTTGTCCTCGAGCTCCAGTCGTTGGCGGTCGAGTTGCTCCTTCATCTCCTTGTGGCGGGCGTACAGTTCCTCTTCGGATTGCTTGAGCTTGCTCTCCTTCTCTGCTACTTTCTGTTGGAAGACCATCTTCATTTCGGCCTCCATCTTGGCTAGCTTCTGCTCGTGCAGAGCACGCTCCTCCTCCTGCTTGACAGCAGGGTTGACCTCCTTGAAAACACTGGGGTCTTGCGACACGCCCATGGCGAGCAGCTTGTCGGTACGGTAGTTCTCGTATAGCTGGTTGTTGGTGTGCTCCTTGAGCTCCTCCATGTGTGTTCGGATGAGCATTTGTCGAAGCTTAACGAAGTCGCAGTGCTCCTCATTATCGACCTCAATGATGCCCCAAGGGTAGGCACGACCGCGAATCTTGCGGCCATCGGCGCTTGTGATCTCGTTGTTGGCACCAACAACAGCGAAGGGAACCTTGGACATAATCTCGTTGTTCTCAGCGATCGTCTCCTCATCATCAAGCTCGTATCGGGGCCCCTCGAAAATCTGGATACCATGGTGCTTGATATCGGCGAGAATCTTGGTTGGTTAGTAATTGAACAAAAATTGGTAGTCGAATAACTTACTCGTGACTTGAAGGCGGCAATCTCCTCGTCGGTAAGGGTATCAGCCTTGGCGATGACGGGAATCAGGTTGACCTTGGTATGGAGTCGGCGCATGACCTCAATGTCAAGAGGCTTGAGAGAGTGGCCGGTGGGCTGGATAAAGAAGACACATGCATGAATACGGTTGTCAACAATATTCATGCGGTTAACCTTGTTCTCAGCATCCAAGTAGGAGTCGAATCGCTGCTCGATGTTGTCGACGATAGGGCGCCAAGACTCATCATTGTTGACAAAATCTCCAAAACCTGGTGTATCGACAACAGTGAGGCGGAGACGAACACCTGCCTCCTCAATGTCGGCGCTGATGGACTGAATGGTAACAGTCTTGGGAATAATGTCGAGGCTGGGTCCCTTGCGCTCCTTGGGGGGGTACAGGGAGGTGTTGAAGAGAGTGTTGACCAGAGTAGACTTGCCCAAGCCAGACTCACCTAGGTCAGTGTTAGTCAGATCCTTTACATTTCAAGCATCTCTGTACATACCAACAACCATCACGTTGAAGTTGAATCCCTTGCGAACACTCTTTCGGTGCCATTGGTTGGGGAGGTTGGCAAAACCGACATAGCCAGTAAGCTTTCTTCGGACAATGTTTCTGTTGTCAGCCGGGGGAGGGGGCTGAGATGGAACTACATGATAGTCAGTATGGGAGCAGATACATATAGGTTCAAGATTAACATACCATTAGCAGGCGAGGCGGAAGGAGCCAACGCCGGAGATTCGCTGCCGGGAGAAGCTATTGAGAAACATGTTAGCGACCGATGCAATCATTGGTGCTGAATATTATGCTGCCAGAGGTAGAGACGCAAGGAGGAGCCTGACTCGGTGAACATTCCGAACTTGTGTTGCGAGGATTTCCCTGGGTAGAAGCCTCGATTGTTAGATGATCGCGGTTGGGCTTCACAAGATCCATCCGCTCATCTACAGCTGGCCCACTTGTAACAGAATAGAGATATAGTTCGTCGAATGACATTGGCTTCATGGGGCTTAATGTCGGCGGATCCTGGATGTCCACGTCGAGCATACTGCGATAGTGGCGTACAGTCGAGGGTCGAGGGGAGGAAGGAAATGGGATTTTATCATCTTGGCTCAACGGAAAACTGATAGTTCGCTTGGAATCCCGCGATGCCTTTGGCGATGATTCAGCGAGAGGTGTAGTTGCCATGAAGAGGAGACTTCTGTCAAAGTGCACGCTGCGAGTGCGAGCCTTGACGTGCTGTACCAAATCGAATGTCATGATCGAATTTCAGGGGTTGGAAGTGCTGATTCTCAACGAGGAATGTTGTCAGGACCAAAAAGGGGGCTGATAAGATAGACCCAAGAAATTGTAGATGATTGAGAAACGAATGTCGTCGAGCTTATCGAAAATCGATGGATTGTACGGGATGAATGTCGAGATTTTGTCGAGCTCCCAGAGAACAGATCATCCTCGTGGTCGAGTTCGGAGGCTCTTTCCGTGGTCTCTACCTGTCGCTGATGCCATGTGGTCTGACACGCGCGTGCATAAAAAGAAAGAATCATCTTACCCATATTGAATTATCAAGAACGGTCGAGTTGTAAAGGCTCGTGGGAAAGTGCGTGTTTCTAAGTTGAAAGTTGATGGTTAGCTACGTCAGGGGAAAGGCCAGCTAGCTACACGAGCTTGATGGAATGGTCACGGGAGACACAACAAGAAGGGCCAAACGACGACTGAAAATCTCCAGGCAACAAGCGCAATGTGACAGGTGTACGGTCGAGGAGATATCGAGTTGATCGAGGGCGCTCCTTCTCGAAATCGTGGTCGGGCAGTAAGGAGTGGAACGAGGACAGCTACTCACGGAAGTACCAGGAGACGCGTGTCAATGAGCGTCGCAACGAGTGAATACGAAGAATAGAAAGCGGCCTCGGGTTTATCAACGCGGGACCTACTCTCACGCACGATAAAAGGCGATCGAGAGAAGAGTAGCAATGATGAGGCTAGAAACGGGGGGTAGGGAAAAAAAAAAAGAGAGAAAGTAAAGTGAAGGAGAAGGATGGGAAATTTTGGAGGCGACAGGCGGACCAAACAAGGAGACGAAATTCTGATGTGCTGTGCTGTTCTCCCAGCAGAGCAGCCTTTGGGCAGAGAGCCGTGCTGCAACAAAAGGGGTTTAGACGAGCTAGTCCGAGTTGAGGCTGGTGTGGATCCCCCAACTTACATGATCCAGGGGCATGCTCTGGAGATTTAGCGGACAGGGTCGCTGAAAGCCTAGTGTCGAACCTCAAAGGGTGTTGCATGCGCGCTTATGATTGGTTCAAAAGACACGGGTCCAATTAACGGCGCGGGACAGGGGTCGTTGAATGGTAGGATGGGAGATTGGGGAGGGCGAGCTCTAGCTTCACCTCAAAGCAAATTACTGCATCTTGGCTGTCGGCATATGCCTGTATCATATTCTAAGCGGCCATACAATTGACTCTTGATACAGCCTCTATCTGAAGCTTGACATCCTTTGAATTACCGGTGAGGGCCTACAAATGTCTGAATGTGGCCGGACCTCCTTACATCGCTCCATTCCCCAGGCAAGCTTGGAGCTCACCTGAGGTAGGTTGTTTCTAAAAGGGGAATGCTACTCTAAGTACCTGTTCCCTAGCTCGCTTGTGCTTCAAGTATCGATAATCATTCTGATGCTGCAGGTTATTGATAGGGGTTATTCTCTCCTATTTGAAACTATTGTTCGATGACTTCGATTGCATCGTTAATCTCTCTCATGTGTCATTTGTCTTGATCTACAGTATTTCTTTCCAAATCATGGCCATTGACACCTCTCTAGCGGCATAGCTCAGAGCATTCATAATTGGACTTTATCAGAGACATATTCCAAGACATACGCAGATCAACCGTTTCTTGAAGGGGCCAGGGTATCTTCTCCCTTCTTTCTCGTGGCCATAACGCTCGTCCGATATTGAATCACGGTATAACCATGTTATGGACTATTTATTTGCTCCTCGTCCTACCGTGCCCACTCGCCGTCAGTCCGGTTGCGCCTTAACCGCTCCCACGTCTGTGTTCCTCGTTTATTAGTTTCTTTTCCTCGTCAAAACATCAAACATCCGGTCCATTCAAGCTGTTCCCTTTGTGGGTCCGGGATCAATTACTTTCTGTTCTAGCTTCGTCAATAACTATATTGGGCTCGCTCAAGCAACCAACCTCTGTTCGTTTACAGTACTTGGCATGTCAACTTATCTCTGAATATTCAATCATTAGATGTACTAATGAGGAATTCTACAAGTCTGGCATGCGCATATATGTCAATCAAACAGGCTTCTGTACGTTGATATGCCAATTCCACATTTGTATGACTGTACACGAGGTTGCATAAGTTCACTGCATCTGCCCTAAAAATAATTCCAATAACCAAGGTATCTTGTGAAAATCATCTTGAGAATCCTGCACGCTGCTACCTCACGCCCTTCTCCTGCATGTACGACACGAACGTCCATGATTCGCATAGAAAGGGATGGGGAAAGGAGGTACACAACGTGTAATTGCATTCCAGGCAAATGTCCCTGGTCCGAAAGAAAAGTCGTACGAAGTGATGTCGCCCTCTAAAATGTTTCGCGTTCAACCGCGTTTTCGGATAATGCACTCTAAAGCAGTACATCAAAACTATGGCAAGAGAATTTAACTTACTCTTATGTCTCTACCTTACTGCGAGCCGAGCAGTATCCAGAAGGGGCTGATTAAATAGTTGCCGAGATATTGCCTTCACATGGTTCTCTAGATGTTGTTCAGGAATACTGAGCATGATTATGTTATTCTCATACATCTTAAAGTTGTGGCTCCTCGAACTTCTGACTGAGGCAATGGGCACATCTGACGCTACTACAAAGTACATAAAAGGGCAGGGTTTTTTCTTTTCTTTTTTTTTTTTTTCGTTTTACTTATTAAGTAGAGACGGTATAACATAAAGAGTATAAATGGCTGTATGGCTTTAGGCTTGCTCGCCGCTGGTTGTTATGCCAGTGCAGGGTAGACGAGTTACTTACAGTCCAACTTCACCGACGGAGTTGGTAACGTCCAGCGTTAGGATTCGAGGATTTACCACATATGATGGTATAGCACTCTCAGGGAGACACAGAAAACGATAAGACATGTAAAAAAAGTTATTTTTACGAGTAGAATATTGTATCTATACACCCCGCATCGTCTTCTAAATGTCAAATAAGCACTGAACCCCTCAGTGCCTCGTTTAATTAAGATACACGCCACTTTTTTGCTTCTAGTAAAGGTATAGTACACTACTGGGACGAGCTGCCCAGACTTTGACGGCTTAACTTTATAGGATGATCACATCATCTCACTTATCTTAAGCGAGGCCAGCCTGCTGGCTTGCAAAGAATCGTTTCGACTCAGCACATCTCTCGCTCTTGCACCCAGGGCATCGAAGACCCATCTGCTTAGAGCAAGCCTGGCCTTCTACCAAGTGCGCCTTGGCAATATCGGCGAGAGCTTGGATAAAGACAGGACTTCCATTGAGAGACTCAACTCGCTTGACAGTTTCGGGGTGACCACTGTCGCCGATGACTTCCTGATCCAACTCATATAGAGTTTCGATATGGTCGGACGTGAAAGCGATGGGGATGAGTACGAGATCCTTCTGACCCTTGGCTATGTAGTGCTCTACGCTATCTGAGGTCTGAGGTCCCAACCAGGCCGACGGGCCGACCTGAGACTGCCAGCACAGCCGGTAAGGGTTGGAGAAACCGAGGCGCTGCATAACAGCGTAGACAGTGGCCGCAACTTCAGCAGGGTAAGGATCACCTATATCATGTTAGTATGTGTTACAAATATCCACGATGAAGAGACAAACCTCGGTTCACGACAGACATGGGCAGACTATGCGCAGAGAAGAGCAGCACAACATCCTTTCTTCGCTCCTCAGGGTATTCCGCCAGCTTGGCCTCGATATTCTGGGCAAAAGCCTCAACCAATCCACTGTGGTTAGGCCAACGGTCAATTACACTCCAGGTAATGGTACCGTCACCAGACTCCTTGTTGGTCTTGCCTTCAAGTCGGTGCCTCCACTTCCATAGCTCGTTCAAGCTGCTACCTGTTGTTGAGCAAGAGTACTGAGGATATTGTGTGAATGCGACAGCGCGGCCACCTTTTCCATTTCCAAAGCCGTCCTTCAGCAGCTGCTCGTACATTTCCTCGGTTAATGGGTTCGCGTATCGGAAAGCGACGTAGGGCTTATGAGGCGCAGTCTCGGGGGAGATCTTGTCCAAGATCTTACACATCTCGGCGTTTTGGTATTCAGACCACTTTCGAATTGGGGATCCTCCACCGATAGCCGAGTATTGCTTGATGATTTTGGGTGTTCGCCGGCTCGAAATCAAAGGACCGAGATAGTTTTGTAGAGGGCCAAGAGGAATCAGATCGCCGTCAGCCTGGGGTGGTGGTTAATGTACATGATTCGGAGGACTCGGTGCTTCGATAATGACTTACAAAAAGGCGACTCAAAAAGTCACCAACCTCATCGGTAGTCGAAGGTCCCCCCATGTTGAGGAAGACCATAGCCGTAGGACCCTTTGATCCAGTAGCATCTTGGGTGACAGGATGGACGGGAGTGGCCAGATATCGCCTTTGAGTAGTGATTTGGGGTAGCGCAAGTCGATGCGTACTGGCCTGTGAAATGCTCTTACAGAGCTGGCCTCCAGATCTTCGCAGAGCCATTGTCGATGAACTGTCACTGACTTCAAGAGACAAGGCGTGGGAGGGGAAAGAAAAGCCAATTTATTGACCAATTGGAAGTGGTGCGAGGTTTGGAATCATAAAACAGCTGAGGTGGTGTAAAGAAATCTTATGTTATGTACATGCAACTAGTGCCGACGGCGATGATGCACGCATCTCCATGGGCTCCGGGATCGCCTACAACGCATTATATCGGAATTTGGCCAAGGCTTGGCTGTTAGGAGTGACTTGCTTGGCCCGCGGAGTTTCCATGGTGCAGGAGGTATTACTGAGCAAGGCATCATCAACCAATCACACAATTGGTAATCGGTCGAATCAGTTCACGTGAGCTCGTGACAGGCAGCGCGTCGGCCCTTGTCATTAGCTCGCGTTTGCCTAAAGCTATGGCCCGCTAGCATGAGATCACTCATCAGCTCTTAAAGTCAAGCTGACCCTGGGATGAGATTGATCAGTCTTCACTAAACAACAGACGAACATCAATCACATCAATCATGGCCGATAAACAGAATTGGCGAAAAGAAGAAGAAGAAGATGAGGAGGAACAAGAACTTGACGAGAACGTGAGTTGATCGAACATTGATATCCGTCCCAACTCCATATTGATCCACTCATAGAGCTATAAGGCACAGAAGGATGCCATCTTGCTTGCGATTGATGTTAGCAAGTCCATGTTAGAGCCGCCGCCGCCTTCGGATTCCAAAAAGGCAGATCGCGACAGCCCTGTCCAAGCGGCTTTAAAATGTGCCTACCATCTCATGGAGCAACGCATCATCTCTAATCCCAAGGATATGATGGGCATTCTTCTCTTTGGTACTGAGAAATCAAAATTTCGGGACTCTGTAGATGGTCGAAGTGGTCTGGGTTACCCTCATTGTTACCTATTTACTGATCTCGACGTGCCGGCGGCAGAAGATGTGAAGACTCTCAAGGCCTTGGTCGAAGATGGTGAGGACGAGGATGAGGTACTGACACCTTCGGATGAGCCTGTAAGCATGTCGAATGTGCTATTCTGCGCGAACCAGATCTTCACAACAAAGGCTGCGAACTTTGGCAGTCGTCGTTTGTTTATAGTAACTGACAACGACGATCCTCACGCATCTGACAAACAGGCCAAGTCCGCTGCAGCGGTACGAGCCAAGGATCTGTACGATCTTGGGATTCTGATAGATTTATTCCCCATTACCCGTGGAGACGAGAAATTTGATCTCAACAAGTTTTATGATGTAAGAATCGTTCTGAAGATACCAGGGAACCAGCTAACATGCGAAGGACATCATCTATCGTGACCCTGTTGGAGAGGCGAACATGTCAGAAGTTCGAACATCGAAATCTGGAGACGGACTGACACTGCTCAACTCGCTCATCTCAAATGTCAACACCAAACAAACTGCAAAGCGAGCACTGTTCTCAAATTTGCCATTCGAGATTGCTCCTGGGCTACGCATCTCAGTCAAGGGATATAACATCGTTCATCGTCAAACACCAGCGCGCACTTGCTACATTTGGCTGGACGGTGAAAAGCCACAAATTGCTACAGGTGAAACTACACGAATCGCGGAGGATAGCGCCAGGACCGTTGAAAAAGCAGAGATAAAGAAGGCGTACAAGTTTGGCGGCGAATACGTTTACTTCTCCCCTGACGAACAGAAGTCATTGAAGGATTTTGGATCACCCATCATTCGTATCATCGGCTTCAAACCGCGCAGTTTGCTTCCCGTATGGGCCAGCACCAAGAAGTCTACGTTCATCTTCCCCAGCGAAGAAGATTATGTTGGTTCGACCAGGGTATTCGCAGCACTTTGGCAGAAACTTCTCAAGGATGACAAAATGGGTGTCGCTTGGTGCATCACCCGTGCTAATGCGCAGCCAATGTTGGCCGCTGTCATACCGTCTAGAGAGCGGTCCGATGATGACTCGGGAACACCTTATCTGCCTGCTGGCCTTTGGATCTATCCTCTGCCATTCCAGGATGACCTGCGAAATATCAACCCACCAAGCGAAGTGCTACGAAGTTCTGGAGAACTCACAACGCAGATGCGAACTATCGTTCAGCAACTCCAACTGCCAAAGGCGATGTACAATCCAGCAAAATACCCCAACCCCGCGTTGCAGTGGCATTACAGAATCCTTCAAGCTCTTGCTCTAGAGGAAGAGGTACCCGAGAAGGCGGATGATGCAACGGAGCCGAAGTACAAAGCAATCAGCAAACGAGCAGGCGGTTATTTGGAAGAATGGTCGGAGTCACTAGAAGAGGAGTCTGGCAAAGTTGCGAACAAAAAATCGACTAAGCGAGAAACAGACGATGAAGATATGGATAGGCCGGCGAAGAAATCGAGAGGCACATCGGAGAAGGCATCCGGTTCTTCCTTCAGTATGGCTCAATTGAAGGCCGCAATCGAAGGCGGGACTATACAAAAAATGACGGTAGTTCAGCTTAAAGATATACTGGCTACCAAGGGTATGAGTACCGCCGGACGAAAGGTTGAATTGATCGAGAGAATCGAGGAATGGATAGAGGAAGGCTCATAAGAATGAGGTACGTTGGCACAAGAGTGTGCATTGTCGGTACTTTATATGAAGTATTGAAACGACTGGGTGGCCGGTGGAACGGGCGTTTGTGATGCTTTGTAAGGTTATTGTTTATCAAGCGGCGAAGACTTGATCATATTGAATCAAAATACCGAGGACAATAACCCCGCTATATTTGTTCCTTGTTGTGGTTGTGATTAAATGTTTCTTTCATGGAAGCTTTCGAAGCTTTCTCCTTTTCATCACATTCACCAAAGCTTCTTTTACTCGGCACCAACATCACAAGTTGAGCATCTTGGCAAGTCAATTATAAAAACTGTCATACTTAACCTCTATTCACTTTGATCTGAGTATCTTTTTTTTTCTAAAATTCCAATATGAAATATGGCGACTGCAGGCGGGAGGATAGCTTCATCCTCTATACTCACACCCCCTTCAGCACCCGTTAGTGGCTCTCAGTGGCGAGGCGCTCAACTCACGCCCACTAAATCTCAGGCCCATGCAGAGTTAGAGCTAAACACTCCCCGGCCCCTTACCTCATCTGTCAAATCTGTAGCTCCACCATCACCCACCTGCGCGTTCGTGAGCCCGCAAACGCCAGGACAGCGTCGCCCGAACATCCCATCGGCAATACTTGTAGCCTCATCGCCTCAGAAGGAGCCGGGCGCTGACGAGTATACCTCAAGGCTATTGCGTCTGGCGCGACGCCCACCAACCTGCGAGCAACGCACCACCATGGCCGATTTCCTCGCAAGCCTTGGTCTTGGCGGCGCGCAGACACCAGCCGCGTCAAGTAATCCGCAATGCGATTCGGTCGAGGAGCTCCAGTTCAAACTACGAAGCATACTAGATGCCAAGGCGACACCCACCCGGGCCGAACATGTGACTCTGACAATCGAATTGAGAGCTACGGTACGATTTCAGTTGCCTGTGTCAGAATCGGAGAATGGGACACTCGAGAGCCTAAATAACATTGATCCGTCACTGGGAGGAGCACAATTTGTAGGAATGAATGGCAATCATGATGAAGGACAGCTATCGCGCGTGGTATTTGCCAATGACACACTTATGAATCAACCACAAGATGACCCGACCCTTCAACGATCTGTCGCCAAACATATCATTTCAATAGTCAGCTCAACCGACGGGAGTACCTGGACCGTTCGAGAAGTGTCGCGAGGTACACAGGGTTGGACTTTTACGTATTTGTGCAAGGACTCATATCAGCAATGGACTCGACAGAATGCGAAGAACCCAACGAAAACAATAGTAGGAGAGTTCAGTTATAGAGAGCCTGACCCAGTTCTGCATGGTAAATTCAGAGCGTCAGCCAAAGTTGTTTCAGTAGCTGATAATGAGATAGCTCGACCTGCTTTTGACTGTCGAGGATCTATCACGATTGCCTTCAACCGCGGCAGTCGCTCCATCACAGTGAAATACGACCATACTCCTTTGCACAAAACTGTTGCCGAGCTGGCCGCCCACTTCAAGCCTGCCCCTCGTCAACTGGGACCAGGCGCGCAAAAACTCCAGGAACAGCAGCAGAAGGCTAAAGAGAAGACGCCAAGGAAACCCAGAGGCGAGAAGAAAGACAAGAGGGAGAGAAAGAAGCGGGATTCGACTATAAAGGCGCAAGATGAGAATGGTAATCCCCGGAAACGAAAGAAGAAAAACAACGGTACATCTCAACCGACGGACTCAGTAGACGGACCGATGATTTCCCCAGACTATCCTGGGGCACCAGCAATCGATGGGCAAAACCAAGGGGGTCGGTCGTATATGAACGGCGGAGAAGCATCGGGCAATCCTGGGCAGCAAGGATTCAACGATTATCCTCAAGGGTTGATGGGGGACGCATCAGCAACGACAAATGGAACTTCGTCTCAGCAGGCGAACGGCCAGATGGCTTCAGTTGCTTTCCCAGTTAATGTCTCAGCCGCTGAAGCAGCACGTCGAAAAGAGGCAGCCACGACAATGCTTAGCAACGCTGGTGTCGATCCCACCACATTGTCTCCTGAGCAGTTTGGTATTTTCGCCAACCAAGCACCAGAGTTACAACGCGAGTCATTGAATATGCTTGTCAAATATGGCGCAGAACGGCTCCGGATTGTCCATCCAGGTAACAAGGAAGGCTCTACACAGGCAAACTCTTCAACACAGAGCAGTCAGACAGCTTCAACTGGACCTAGAACCACCAAAGAACTAGTGCCCCAGTCAAGTGCTCAGAGCAACGCGAATACAGATACTGAGACAGCGGTAGCTCAGGCTGCTGACGACACCTCCACTCCTAAGCGCAAGAGGAAGAAGATGGGCAAGTCGAGAACAGCTTGTTTCCCCTGTAAGGCACGGAAGACAAAGGTAAATGCCTCTCAAACTAATCAAGAGCTGCTAAACTAATATAACATAGTGCCCAAGGGAACAACCAATCTGCACCGAATGTGCGAATCATGGGGCTGCATGTGAATATGCACCACAGAAACCAAGAAACAAGGCAACGAAGCCCAAGAAGTCTGAGGCTATCGTTGTTGACGATGACGATGACGATGACGATGACGATGACGATGACGATGGCGATGAGGAAGATGAAGAGGTTGAACAGCAGGAAGATGCTGAGGGAGAAGGTACCGAACAGGAAGATGACGAACAACAAGACACTTCACAGGACTACTCATACCCTCAGATGAATATCGGAAACATGGTCACCAACACTGACGGAACAACTCAAGATACCCACTCCACACAAAACAACTACTACCAGCCTACCTCCGGTCTAGTTCTTCCTCAGCCAGACCCTTACTCGACCAGCTCTCAAGCAATGGGCACATCAGTATCGCAGAGAGGTAACTACTCTCACAACCTGCCAGAAGTGACACAACCCATGGTCCACCCAGCCCCTCCTATCCCAGCACCAGCTGGAACGATCGCTCCCGCTGAAACAAGGCGATGGACCGCCTTTGGTAGCGGTAGTGTCAATGGAAGTAGCACCAGCAAGACACGAAGAAGTCTTCCGTCTGAGCCCAGCCATCCAAATACACAAAACATTCCTGCAAACCCACAGCCATCAGACTGGGCTCAAACTTCTAACGCGACTATGCCTGCAACAACAATGGCATCTGTTTCTCCGCAGATGACATACGAGACACGCTCAAGCGGAAGGACTCGACAGAAGAATCAGAGCCTAACGAATGATGCTTCCCAACAAGCTACAGCAGTGGCCAATACGGTCATACAGCAGGCTCAGGCACGTCAATCGCCCGCCGCTGCGGCAGCCATGACGGCACAAGCCCGCAAATCTCCTTACCAACAACCTGCTGTTCCTCGCACGACTTCTAGAACAAGCCAGCGAAACCAGTCTCGCACACCTGTGAGTGAGCAGGCACGAGGTTACCAACCTCCTTCCGACATGGATCAGCAGCAAAATCCGCGAGGCAGCACTCATTACGATACATCACACATGTCCAGTGGTTCCGGCTATAATGACTATGGGCGTTACAGCGGCACTAGCACCGGAGCAAGCCATCAGCCACCCACAACCATGAGCACATCTTATCAGACTACTTCTTCCACTGCAAATCAGTGGTCTAATTCTTCGAGTCGAAACGATCGCTCATATGACACCAACCCATCATATCAAACGCCTAATATTCACGTACAGACAACAGCGTCAAAGCCAGCGGCATCCCGCCAGAACTTTAATATGCGCGCAAACACACAACAGCATACTCGTGCTAGCAGTGGTTCATACAACCAGCAGAAACAACAGCAGGGTTATCCATCATACTCTGGATCTACACACCAGAACCAACAGGGTCAGGCATCAAACCAGCAACAGCCGTCAAGCTGGTACTTCCAAAACTCGCACAACCCTTCTATTAATCCTGGAGGCCAGTCGTCTGGTTATAACTATGAGACATGGTCAGGCGTTTAGGGATTTAGCATATTCAATTGTACACATCTATCATCTATGGCTCATGATTGGGGCTGAAATTGCTATGGACGGGTTTGGCGAATCGGTTTATTTAGCGCGATGATTACGGCATAAACAGGACTCGAGTTAAGGCACTCATGTCTAGAGATACCCAGCAATGTCAGACAATTGAGAATCGCGGGTAATAGCATTTTTGTTGCATTTGACGGATGCGATAGTATTTTTGAAGCATCACATCGCTTAAATCATTATTAGGTGCTATTCAGCCCATCATTAACGTTAACTTGTGTGTATTCCCCTCGAGTTCCGCCGAATTCCATGGTATTTCCGTCACATTAATTTCCAGTGTGGTATCCAAATTGGGCTGTCCGCCCTTAGATGTATCGTGCTTCATCTACTCAACATGGTCTGAAATAGCAAACTTGCTGAGAGATCGCAGCTTGCCACCGTAAAAGTACAGCAGCCAGATACCAATGATACCAATAACACTCAAGCCACCAAGAAGACTGGTACCCTTAGCAACGCCGAGATTGTCAAATAAGGGCTGGGCAAAGAGAACACTGCCACAAGCAAGAGCACTGCGGAAGAAGTCATTCGCTGCGAAGAGACTGGCAGCGTACATTGGGTAGCTGAGAGGAATGTACACAAAGATACACTGCATGACAATGAAAACTGTAGCTCCGTAGATGGTGATGCCAATGGTGGGTACGATCCAGTGGATAGAGGCTCGAGCTGTCCAGGCAAAGAGGAACAAGCCAATGGTAGGACCAAGGGCGGCCGGAAGAGCTGGAACGAGGCGGCTTTCTTGGATGGGCCAACCACGCTTAGCGATGCGGGGGTCCATGTAGAAGTAGAGGTAGGAGACGTAGAGGCCTACTCCAATCATACAAGAGACGAGAACGCAGAGGAAGACGAGACCGATTTGGCCAAGGTTCATGTTGTAGTAGACTGGGTAGACACGGGGGAAGACCTCGAAGACTAAGAAGAGTTAGTTATCAGAGATACCAATCATATAGTGGAGGAAACTTACATGAATAGTAGATACCATAAATAATGGCAGTGTAGACCTGCACGAACAGCACGGCAGGATCCTTGATGGTGATCTCCATGGGCTTGATGAGGGCATCGACAGCAATAGCAGAGACCTTCATATGACGCTGGTCAATCTCACTCTGTGACATGAAACGTTGGTTACCAGTGAGCTTTCGAAGACGCTCTGCTCGACGGAGGAGAATGTTGGCACCACTGGTCTCAGGAAGGAGAAGGAACATGAGGATGAAGATAGGGGCTGAGGCCCAGATACTTTCGTAAAGAGACCAGCGCCAGTTCTTTGCGGGAACGGCGAAACCGCTGATCAGAGGACCAAGAGCAGCTGAATATGTTAGTTGAAAGTAAGTGACAGTGAGAGAAGAGGAGACTTACGACCACAGTAAGCAGCCGAGACCCAGGCCATCATGGCATAGGGGAGAGCCATGAGGCTGTAAATATCTCCTAGCGAAGCACCACCAGAAGCCAAACAAGGCGAGCCGAAGAAGCCTTGAAGGAATCGAAGAACCATGAGACCGGGATAGTTGTTCACTAGTGCCGTAGGAATAGAGATGATAACAAAGAGAAACATCGTGACGATGTAAACGGGGTTTCGTCCAATGCGAGGGATCTCACTCAGGGGTGAGAAAATCAGAGGACCAATACCATACCCCAAGACATATAGTGAAAGGCCAAGTGTAGCTTTAAGCTGACTAACTCCAAAAGCGCGCATGACACCTTCAGTTGAGGAAGTGTAGATCGCAGAGGATGTATACACGACGAAGGTGTATAAACAGATGATGAGAGAGACACCTAGGCGGCGGTTGTTGGTCCAGTTATGAGGATTCTCGTTATCGTCGCTGAAGTACCAATCGACGAGGATAGAACCATCTTTTGTACGCTTGGGGACAACAGGGATAGACTTGACCTTCTCGACATCGTGCTCTTCATCGGCCTCGAGTCTGTCGACAGTGTAGGCTTGTGTTTCTTGGGGAGATCGTGATCGATGGAGTCTCACGGGCTGAGGATCAGCACGCTCTATGTCGTCGTTCTCATTATTCTTCTCGCTCTTCTCATTCTTCTCATTCTCAGCCTTGAGCTTGGGGTCTTCCTCTGCTGCAACAGTAGACGAAGCTGACGATGCGAGAGCTGTACCAGTGAGGACTGTGTTGTCGTTGGGAGAAGACTCTTCGATGATAGCATCGGGGTTGTTAATCACTGCAACCCAGGACTCTGGAAGCTTGAAGTCGGGCTTTTCTTCTGGGTACTGGAGATACTTGTTGCGAGTGACGAAGCGGATGAGTTGCCCCAGGGGAGCATCTCTGATGAGGTCTGACATATTGATGTTTATCTTCTTATCGGAGTAACTGTATTAGAGGGAGATAAGAGGAAGATATTAAGTGGGAAGGGTTCTCTTTAAGCTTATTATGCTAATTGAGATCTGGAGTTCAAATCTCCCTGAGGCATGCACTCGTCTTATACTCATATTCTCTCCCACTCCTCTACTCCTCTGCAAGCTCTTACACCACGGAGCTTAGCAATCCGGAGTTAGTCACCCGTCATGCTGTAATGTAATCTTAGCCCTTCCACATGTCTTTGATAGTGTCCATACGAGCAAGAATAACTCTGTAAGCCACTTTCGGACTAACATGCCTGACGTTATTACCAATCCCTGCTCGGTGCTCGGCCTACTTTATTATCCTAGAGATGATCAACAAGCTTCATGTTTTGGAATAGTCTGGACCTAAGCGGAGTTTAGGGCTGACATTTAGGATTGGAGGGTGATTAGTTTTTATCACCGGGGTTCCCAATTTGCTTATCTGTGTGAGCACTTACACTGTAATACTGTATGAATATTCACTTTAGCCTGTGGGTCTATTGCGAAGTGAGTCGGATTTCTTACGTTTTAGTCGAATGTACACGGTAGTTGACTCTGTCTACAGTGAGATTGATTACCATCTGGAGACTGAATCTATATGTCGTCATCGAGATCCGGATGCTCGGCTGCCTTTTTCTTAGACTATTGTTTATCTGTGAGCACTAACACGACGATATGCGCATCTTGGCTGCTTACTTTGTCTTTCATCTCTGAATCTCAGCCTATATCTCCTTGTCTCTCCCCCTCACACATGTCTCTCACCTCAGCGGTAAGCTCCAAGAACCCGCCAGCTCATAACAGACCCAGCAAATGAAAAAAAAAAAAAAAAACTAAAACATATCTTGAACCCCAAAGATCAGCACTAATGACCCAAATGGGTGAGACCCTCCGCCATCTGCCGTCAAAAGCTTAGCAATCGTCCCGGGGACGTGGTGCCAAGATCATCCAATCATAAGCTTAGAAGCCCCTGGATTAATCACCCTCGGTGTGACGTCTCCCCGGTCGAGGAGCCTCAATTGTCAATGAATGCCGAGACCCTGCGGAATATTAATCACAACGGACCAACTATGAATTAAATATCGTTGCTTTCAGACGGAGATTAAATATGTGTATACCAGTTCTTGTGACTCACTGAACTCGTCCTTTTTTCGGCCGAACAGTGAAATCTCTTCTTATATACCCCAACAATATCTGAGTCCTTCACACCATAACAGCCAACAGCTTTTCCTGGGCCGGTAGGACCTTATATCTCACTGACTGGTACCCAAACGCCCCGACTACTCAATGATCGGCGCCCGCTCCCCAGCCTGATAAGAATCATGCTCAATCTAATACAAATATACCGGATAGCCCGGGACCCTGCTTACTGTGATGGCATTTCAAGGCCAGACACGAAAGTTCAGAGAGGTCGCATTATTATGTTGGTCACGTCATTGACGCTCACCCACAACAGCTGGTCTGCTTGACGACAGGCCCAGATACACACAGTAGCTAGTTGATAGGCTCAACATCACTTAATGCTGACCCTGAAGCGCAACCAGAAACTGGATACGATAATGTAACGTAATAGTCTCTTTCATGCTCACTCTCGACCTCAGAGTCTCGTTCTTGAGCTCACGTCTATTGACTTATACAACATAGCATATTATCAACTGCTCGCTCTCTTCTGAATGCGCCGTCGTTGAAGTTCCTTTCGTACCATCATAGCCGGCGCGTCCTCGCCTCGGTCTAATAGGTCGACAATCTCCCACACTCCAGGATGCTGTGCGTCAAGGGCCAAATTGATGAATGGCTTAACCCAATCTGCAGACCTCCAGGCCGGGTAATCAGGCGCTGCATTCTTGGCATAGTCAATAAACTTGAATGCCAGCTCAAAATCGCCCATCTGTGCGCACGCTGGGATTATCACATCAAAGGCAGGTCCCGCATCGACTTGATCCATCCACGTCTTGGGAACCGTGGCATCGTCATTGCCTTGATTATTTTCAGACTGCTTCTTCCTTATTGACACCGGCGTGGTGTCAATCTTGGCAAGTCCGGAATTGTAGGCCACTGCAAGCTCGTACTGCGTCTCTGTTTTGACGGCATGACGAAGCAGAAGTCCAATGTCTGTCAATCGGGGGCTTTTCCCGGTGAGGAGGTGGGTGTCCTTGAACAGGGGCATAGCAGCTTCTGAAGTTCGGGCTTCAGCCAGAGCCTCGATCGTAACCATAAGGACTTCCCGCGGGACGGGGCCCTCTTTGTGCATGCTTTGAATAGCAGCCTCAGCTTCGCTGATGAGGTCCCGGTTCTTGAGTAAAGCTTGTAGAACAGGCCGTGTGGTTCCTCGAAGAAGTAGGCACCCATTGTTATGTTGCAGATTCAAAATCGTAAGCGCACCCGTCACATTTCCCGAATTAGCAAACGCCTCCACGATGGCATCATTATGCTGCTGGCGAGGCTTGCCACGACTCGCCAGCTTCTCAAGAGCTTGACTGGCGAGTTCAGTGTCGCCGTGCCTTGCTCCAGTGGCCAGAACGTTCTCAATAATACCGTTAGAAGGGTTGTGAATTGGTATGTTGACAACATCTCGCCATACAAAAGTTGTTCCTTCATGGTGGAAGCCCTGGCTGAACATGTCCAGGGCCATCAGCTGGATACTTCTGAAAGCTTTGTCCGAACCATGAGCAAATTTTCTCTTCTTGAGTATGTGAAGCATTTCATCAAAGAAGCCCTCTCTACCAAACTCCAGAATAAAAATATCGTAGACCCAAAGATCCACGTGCCCGGGGTCTTCTAAAAGCTTGTTGAATTTATTCAAGGCCAACTCAAACTGGCCTTCCCGGAGCATCGCCACGGCAATGCTTTGCTTGGCAGGCATCGTGAACTCGAACCAGTGCTGCTCCATCATCTGCACAACCTCTTGCCGCAGGATATAATCTGGGTGTACGCTGAGAGCTTCAAGAGCGAGGTAGCAAACATCTGCAGTAAGCGGAACATTTTGAATGCTCATGTCCTGCAATAATTTGCTAACTCCGGTGCTGGACCCTTGTGGGTCAGCCATAGCAGCCATCAAGCTCTCATAAATCAAAGCATCGGGGGGGTATTTCCGGTTTCTGAGAAGATATCTAACGATATTCAGAATCCTCAAATACCTGTTGCTAGGGAGGTCAGAATTGCCTTTTTGCCGTGGCATTCGTAACCGTCTAAGGGCGTCAACCATTAATGACACTGATACGGCGTTCAAGTCTGGCAAGACTTTAGCCAGGGCTGGGTTTCGGCCTTGTGGCACGGCTTGTTGATCAACATGTTGCCCCGTCTCCGCACTCTGTTGTTGGGTTTGCCCGTGCTCATATTCATCAAAAAAGGCACTTAATGATCCGGCCTTCTCTTCAGAGTCCAAAGACATAGCCTGGTCAAGTTCATCATGAAATGAACTCAATAAGTTATCATTGTCGAGAAAATCTGTGCTTTTTTGCTCCTTGGTTATGTCGGTCCCATATTGGCGATATTGAACTGTGTTTAGATATTGAGGCCACCGTCCTGGCCCTGCCGAGCTTATGGTTTTAAGTGAAGGAGGCTTATAAGTAACTTGGCAAAGACAGCGCCGTAGGCCATTATACACCAATCGTGGACAAGGCATTCTGGCTGTACAATTATGTTGCCAATGTCGATGCTGAGAAATGGATTCTGCCGATAATCCAATTAATTCTGTACCTTGCATACAGCCCGGTAGCGGAAGCCTTTCCTAAGGTAATTGCGCAACGACCACTATCACTAACCGGGGCTATGCACTCCGCGAGGTGTTAGCCGCTCACAACCGCTCTCACCTTGGGTCTCACCGAACAGCCGCGCTCCACTGAGCTTGTTCCATTCTCAACGTTGTGTTTCCAGCGCGCGCATCATACATCACATAGTTACGACGCAACGAATGAGACCATGGTATGTTGGCATGACCCCTATCCCCAGATTGCCACTATTTATTGTCATGATCACCTCAGCGTACAATGTTAGCATAGCAGAAGCTAACATCAAATAGCTGCCCCTTGGACTACTCAACGCGGCCCAGGGCCACCCCATGCTCGTTGAGCTGAAGAACGGCGAGACACTCAACGGACATCTGGTTTCGTGCGATACATGGATGAACCTCACCCTCAAGGAGGTGGTGCAGACAAGCCCGGTATGCGCTCCCGTAGCGATCGCGATGGTTTCGAATAGGATATGCTGACGGGTTGAGTACAGGAGGGCGATCGATTTGTGCGGTTACCAGAGGTCTATGTCAAGGGAAACAATGTATGTTTCAAGCGCGCTATGGAGTATTCATCAAGAAAGGGAGACTAATGTACAGCAGATCAAATACTTGAGAGTACCGGACGAGATTATCGACCAGGTTAGCGAATCACAGAAGGGCCAGCAGGGCGGTTTCCGAGGCGGAAGAGGGGGGCAATCAAGGGGAGATCACAGCGGTCGTGGTGACCGTGGACGTGGCCGTGGTGGAAGAGGACGAGGACGAGGCCGAGGTCAATAAGATGATTACATGGTTGACGATAATATCTACGCATCGAACCAACGGCCCTAGATTTCACAACACTTCACGACAAGGCATAGGGGAGTCTATGATACCAAAGGAATGAGGAGGAGCTGCTAATCCTCTGGTACTACCACATCGACGTTTCAACTACCTGCTTGGTAGCGGTCCTATCGGTGGGCTGTAGAAGTTCAGGATGAACTCCAAATAAGCTGGGAAGAAGAATCCAGTCTATGAACCAAATTAATGACATATGTCTTCAAGTCAGCACGAGACAAGTTTTCTGCTTTTAGTATTTTGTGCGCGCGCGTTTAAATGCAGTACGTTGGCTAAGCAAGCACTGTTGCCCACGGTCCGTCATGAATCCAAAACCATTAAGAACTCTTTTCCACTCCCTGGCTTGGGTCTTGGCTGACCACAACTCAAGTCTCCGCTGACCTTAGTTCGTGGCTATAAAAACTGGTTACGTGAACAGGTTGATTGTACATGTATATCACAACGGGTGCCCGCAAGTTTAACTTAAAACTGTCTATTTCATGCGTAAAATTGTTTTACCCAGCGCTGTCCACGCCACGTTCTATCAACACCGTAGGCCCAGTATCATCAACTGTAGCCGCCAACATATATCATCAAAAGAGTCAGGCATTATATCGAAACATACGTTCATCAAACGCCCATTACAAAGTCCAAAGTAAACCCGTACAAACCATCCGTCTCATTGTATGCACTTAAAAGTTGGCAACAGCCACAGCGATAGCCTGGCTATCAGAGTGTGAGATGGACAGTGTGATGTCCTTCACACCAGCCTTCTTGGCGGCCGCAGCAGCCTCACCATGAAGCTATAAATGTTAGCATCTTGCATGTTTGACTTGATTACAGGGTGACTTACAGAAACAGTGGGGACGCCGTTCTCTCCCTTGACAATCTCAATGTCCTTCATAGCGGCACCAGCGCCTTGACTAGCGACGCCGAGAGACTTGAAAACAGCCTCCTTGGCACTCCAGCGGCCAGCGAAAGAGCTCTGGGGGCTAGGAGCTTGGCGGCAGTATGAGATCTCGTTGGCGGTGAAGTTACGCTCGACGAAAGTGTCGTTGTCGATGTTGACGGCAGAAATGTCCTCAACATCAACGCCAACCTGGCTGTTCTTGTTCGTGACCTTGAGGGCCAGAGCCTCCATGACTTGCTCAGTCTCCTTGGCCTTGGCTGATGAAACAACCTTCTCCGACTTCTTCATGAAGTCAGAGGCATACTTGAGCTCAGATGACTTCTTGTCCTCAGAGACACGAGCATCAGGGTTGAGAAGAACCTTGCTGAGCTGGTCATCAGAGTAAGGAGAGTTGTTCTTGGCGACGAACAGCTTGTTGTTGATGAAGCCATCGTGGAAGTATCGGTAGGCCTTCTTCTGGCGAGCATCGACCTTGGCGCAGTACTCAGTGTAGGTCTTCTCATCAAGAGTAGCGAACAGGTACTTGGGGTGGACACCAATGGCCTGAGCACCCTTCTGTCCGAAACCGAAAGAGGTAACGGAGAAGGCCTTGACACCGTCGGTCTGGATGCTGCGGCTGGGGTAGACGATGAGGTCGTACTGCTCCATAACAGGATCAACGTTATCCGCGTTGCGGTTGCCAGGGACAAGACCGGTGTCGAGGACCTGGAGGCATCCGTTCATCATCCAAGCACCAGCAGCACCCTTGGGGTGACCAGTGAGGTACTTCTGGAAGATACCCAAGACAGCGTTGCCCTTCTTGCGGCCAAGATGGCGAAGCTGCTGGCAGATGACATTGGACTCGTTCTTATCGTTGGCCTTGGTAGAGGTTCCATGGAATGAGGCAACACCGATATCGTCGACAGTAAGACCCCAGGTGGCGAGGGCACCACGCAGAGGAGCGATGCTAGGATCGCTCTTCCAGAAGTTGTTGCCCATGCTGCGGAGAAGCTCCTTCTCCTGTCGGGCAGCCTCCTTCTCAATGTGAGCAAAACGGTCTGTAGCATACTCCTTCTCGTCAAAGGAAGCACCCTGAGCCTTCATGGCATCAATCTCGTCATAAACGTACTCGAGCTCAGACTCTTGCCATTGCTTGATAGTCTTCTTGCGACGCTCGATCTGGCGGCGTCGGTAGTTAATGTCGAGAAGAGGTGAAGGGAACTTGCCAGGGTTCTCGCGGGCCGTGGTGAGAACACCCTGGCCAGGAGCGGGAACGGAACGGCCAATCTTGTCAGAAGCAGTGGTGGTAAGAGCAACGATACCGTGGATGGGGACACCCATGTCAAGAGCAAGCTTGGCAGTCATGATGACCTGGATACCGCAACCCTGGGATTCCATGAATCCGTTTCGGGTAGTAGTGGTAGGACGAGACATCTCCTTGGGAGTACGTCCGTGGGCAAACTCGTCAACAGTGTTGCTGGTGGCCTTCATGTTGGCGAACTCATAAGAACCTTCCTCACCGAGATCATCGAAACCACCAACAAAGCAGACACGAGCCTTGCCCTCCATGATGGTCTCGTAACCGGTGTCAATAGACTCGACAGCGGTAGCACAAGCACCGACAGGGGTCTTGATAGGTCCGGAAGAGGACATCAACAACATGTTGACCCAGGCAGCCATGGTGTTGATGAAAGACTCTTGGAGAATGTCGTTCTGCACCGGCTGGTCGAGGAAACGAGTGCGGTGCATGTCGCGGAGAGCGGCGGCACCACCCATACCGGAACCAACACAGTTACCAACCTCGGAGACGTGGACATACTTGTAGAACTCGTAGGGATCGGTGATACCACAAGAAAGGAGAGCCTCGGCAGTGGACACAAGGAGGAACAGGGTGACAGGGTCAACCTGGGAGACGATGTCCTCAGGAACACCGTATCGCTTGGGGTCCCAGCCAGTAGGGATCTGACCAGCGACAAGACGATCGAAGCGAAGAGCCTTGGGGATCCAGAGAGAGGCACCCTTCCTGAGGCGAATGATGTATTCACCGCTGTCGGGGATCTCGAAGACCTCAACCTTGTCACCGTGCTCACGCTTGAACTCCTCAGCCGTCTCCTTAGATGCCTCGAAGGGCTCAAGGTCCTCCTCAATGACGACCTCGTGAAGCAGCTGCTTCTTGTTGGGGTCGTAACCCTCAAACAGCTCAGGCTCGATCAGACGGATACCAGAGTGCTCAAGAACATACTTCTCATACTTGGGCTTAACGTCCTTGTCGTCGACGGGCTCACCAGTCTTGGCGTCAACCCAGCCGGAGTAAGGCTTACCCTTGATAAGACCGTTGTGGTTCTTGATGAGACCCATGATCCAAGCCATCTCAACGCAACCCTCGAGGGAGAATTCACCATAGGCCTCCATCTCCCATCGAGTACGAGAGTTACCCCAAGGGCCAACTTCAGCGAAACCAGTGACAACAACGACCTTCTCCAAGTCAACCATGCCCTTGAGGTTCTCATTGAGTGGCTCAATCTCGGTCTTCCAGTCAGGTCGGTTGGGGAAGTCAAGCTTGATGTTGGCACGAGGATCAATTGTCTTCTTCTTGTAGAGAACCTCAGAGGCGGCACCATTGACAATGGTGTTCTCAATGGCGCTCTCCTTGGCAACAGCACGGCGAACCTCGCTAGTCTCCATGATATCCTTGCGGAGCTTGGTCATTGTCTCGTTGAGGTTAGGAATGAACTGCAGACCACCGTTGAGGTCAGCAAAGACAGGCTCATTCTGGCACAGATCAACCAAAGTGGGGGACATGAGACCAAGAAGGTTGAATGCCATCTCCTGCTGGGAGAAAGTGCGGACTCCGAAAGCCTCAACGCCTTCGGCAACGATATTGTTACCAGACATGAGACCAGTTCCTCGGGTCCAGCCAATGACCGCACCGCAAATGGTGAGGTAGTTGGCCCAG